CCTCATTTTCAATTTAGACATTTGAGTTGTACCCATTGTATATACCTTTTCATAGGTGTACTCTTTCATACGTGCTGCCTATGTTTGTCTCCTCTTTTTACTGACAATGTCTTGTAGAAGAGTGTGCTTCAGGTTTATAGGTGAGATGTTTTGTTGATTTTTTTCTTTTACAATGCTATTTCACTGAATGTTCTCACTTTGAATTCCTGTCCTCTGGAAGACAGTTAAAAGGTAAACGCATAGGTGGAAGTTCCTGAGCATTCGTTTTCTTGGATGCGGTCCCGTAGATTATCTTGCACTCAGTATAAGTTTTTTTCTTCAGGACTCATCTAGCAAGTTTGTGCCCTCAGGTGCTAAAGATACACTTTGTATTTTCTTATCTATGTACATGTTGGGTCCCCAAAGTGAAATGTAAGCTTTTTGAAGGCAGGGACTTTCTTTTCCTTTTTTCATTTTTATATCCCCAACAACTAGCACAATCTTTTACATAGGGTAAGTACCATAAAAGTTCACTGAATTGGATTTTTACACATATTTGGTTGTTGTTAACAATAGTTTCTATAGTACATCAAGGTTTGCAAAATGCTTTGTAAAATGAAATATAGCATGAATTGACTCTCGTAATAACTTTGTGAATTAGGTAGTAGAAGTATTATTATACAATGAGGATATTTTATAAATGAGGAAACTGAGACTCAGTGACTATAATATTACATAAACAGTAAAAGTCATGGCCAGGACTGGAATGCACAGGTCTAGAAACAGGTCTGACACCCAAGATAAGAACCACACAATACGTCCAGAGCAAAGAGCTTGAATAGTGGTCTCAAATCAACTTTATGAAAAATTCAGTTGGGTGGAGACAGAAACTTGAGGAGAAGTCTTGAACCTGGGTTATGGGGTCCAATGGGGAAAAGACTAAGAGATACTGACCTTTGGGGGAGATAAAGACCCTAATACATTGGCTACAGAATGTCATATGGCTACTATAAGGGAGCACACCCCTGGGGGAGGAAGCAAGGTGAAGGCCAGCTAAGGTACAAGCTTACTTCTGTCTTTTGGAAATTTCCTACTTTAACTAATTATTCTTGTAAATCTAGTTTTAAACTTAGTGTTTTTCCTACTTACTGAAGGAGTAACAGCCCTGTCAATGTTCAATCAATTTCAGTGACCGAGGCAGAGCCCCAGTTGCCCCACTTACCTCCTTCTAAGTTTAGTATTCTCTCCCTTACTTAAAGCTGCCTGCATAATTCTACAGCAATAGAAAAAAAAAACCACTTTTGTTCTTAATTCCTTACTGATGCTGGTAGTTTTCATTTTAAAAATTGCTTTTCAGCCTATGGTGAAGTCCTGGTAAATTGATAGTTTGGGGGGAAGCTATAGTAGCAAATAATACTTATAGAAATGTTTCAATTTTCTTCCTTAAGTTAAAAAAAAGAAAAATGAAAAAAGCTCTTTTGGCATTGATTGGTACTTAATCAAGTATTGATTATGTACTTAGGAAGAAATAAAGCTATTTAGAATTCAGGGAGTTATTTTTGGCACGTGCAATTTCACACCTTCAAAAGTTATCACATTTTAGATTTTGGTCCAGACAAATGACTAGCCCCCAAGAATATTTCTAATGGATTGATGTCAACCCACTGGGAGGATTCTAGAGGATTGCTGCAGGACATCTGTTCTCTTCATTTTAATTGGGGATTTGTGACAAGGCACAGAGGGCATACTTATTAAATTTGTGGATATTCTGAATCTTGGAGGGAAAGCTAACATATTGGATGACATAGTTGTGATACAAACAAATTTCAAAAGGCTGGAATAATTAATTGAGTCTAACTATTTGAGATGTAGTAGAAATAGAAACTCTTATACTTGGATTTAAAAAAAATTAGCTCATCAGTATAGGCTGGGGGTGGTGTGGGTAGAAAGCAATTCATGTGGAAAAATTTTGGTGATTTCAGTGGCCTGTGCCTTCAACATAAGTCAGCATTATGACCTAGTAGATTAAAAGTCAATGAGCTCATCATGCCAATCATATGACTGTGATATTATATACCACTAATAGAAATATACTGACCATCAGAAAGAAGATAATCCCTTTATAGTCTTCTCTGGTCAAGAATATGTTTGGAGTACTGTTATGGGTGCCATATTTTAGGAATCATATTACAAGATGGAGCTCATTTAGAGGCAGACATGTAGGATGGCAAAGGTTAGCAAATCCAGTATATATAAGGACTGATTTAAAGAAAAATGAGTATAAATGGTCTAGAGAAGAGGAGTCTTAAAAGGAAAATGATTATTGTCTTCAAATCTCTTATGGCCTGACATGCAGAAGAATGATTAGATTTGTGGTGCTTGGTCCTGGAGGATAGGCCCAGTGCACGTTATAGAAATGAAGAGTTTAGTTCCATTTAAACAGGAACTGTCCAAAAATGTGATGTGTTTGCACAGGGAGCAGAATGCCCCATTGATGAGAGCCTTCTATGAGAGGCTAAATGATCATTTGCTTGGATACAATAGAGGGAATTCATTCAGGAAGGGCTGGTGCTAGGTCATTCTGGAGGTATTTACAGAGATCAGCTCTTCAAGAATCTTGTGCTTCTGTGACTGAAGATTTACCTGTGCTCTGCTTTGTTAAAAGAGGATAGAATTCAAGTGTAAAAGTGAAGTTCAATAATGTTTGTTCTGGCTTCATATTTTCAAAGTAACCTATCAGTGGATGTTTAAGTAGCAGACAGTGACTTGCTCAGGTATTATGGATATTTCTTGAATTGAATTATATGTATAAGTGATTGAACCACATAAAGAGAAGTCAGTTGGTGAAAAAGAAAAAAAACCCCACAACATTATTTCTTTAGCACTATAACAATGGTGTTGGCAAAGAGGTTGCAAGTTGATAAAGACTTCAAGTTACTATTTAGAAAAAAAAAATTAAACCCTTGTCCAAGCATTGTCTACCTTTACGAGAGGCATAAATGAGTAATGTTATTGAAAGTTTTGGAGTTTTGGGGTTTTTTTTTTGCCTTTAAGAGTGTAGATTAAACTTTGCATTGCCCAGCAGATGTTAAAGGATATAAACTAGTCAATGAAATATGTCTGAGTTTAAAGACTGAATGCTAATATTTGTAGCAAATTCATGAATTAACCTTATCTTTTCATTCCTGTTTCAAAAGCTATTTTTTTTGTATAACAAAAAGGTCCTGTCTTGACTGCAAAAATATTGGTGGCTGCTAATAGTTGAATGTGTTTAGGTTTAATTCCTATGTTTTAATTTCACAATTTTATTGTTTAATATCAGGAAGTCAATTGAAAGAATTGGAATGTAAAAAAAATATTTCACAAGTTTTCTAATTGTTAAGCTCTGATATATGTATTGTTTAGGTCAAGCCTTTACCTGTGACACACAAATATAGAATATCTAAAAAATTAGACTATTTTCTCAATAATCATACCCTCTGGATATGATAGACATTCATAATTCTAAGACATTAAACTATATTTATGACAATAGAGTATTTTACTCATATGAAGCACTTGATCTGCCTCTCTAATTACCTGACTTCCAAAGGGTGACTTACTCTATCTGCATTATTGATTGGATCAACTATTTACGGGTTGATCATTTTAGGTTAATACCAAAGCAACTGATGACATTGAAAGTGGCCGATCCCAATCAGTTGTTAAGATTTCTGTATTGTTACTCAATTCATTATTCTACAATAGACCAAAATGGCACTCCACACCACCAACTTCTCAACAAGTCAAATCAACAAGTATTTATTAAGTGCCTGCTATGTTTTAAGTACAACGTTAAGCATAGAGGATTCAATGAAAGGCAAAAGCAGTTTTGGATCTCAAGCAGCTCACACTGCAACGGGAAACACGCAAACACAACTACACACAAACAAGATATACACATGATACATTGTAGATGATCACAAAAGGAAAGCACTAAAAAAAGCTTCTTACAGAAAGAGATTTTAGCTGAGCTCTAAATGAACCAGGGAAGCCAGAAGGGGGAAATGAGGAGGGAGAGAATTCCAGGTACGAAGGATAGCCAGTGTAAATGCACAGAATCCAGAATCCTACAAACAGGACAAATGGGTGCTTTGGTGTAAATAGAGTTGAATCCCTATAAGCATCACCTTGTAAGCATTTTTTTTTCCTTCTAGTAGCAGATACAGGCACATTACTCTGTCACAGGGGTACCTATACTACAGCATACTTTTCTAAAAGTTAGAGAATCTTAATGTATGCAGAAACAACACCTAAAAGTTATCTCTTAGGCTTTCTACTTTTAGTTTTCTTGCCTCAAGTCTCCCCCCCATTCCAGTCCATTTTCTACTCAATCGCCAAAGTGATCTTTCTAAAGCATAGATCTGACCATGTCATCCCACTTTCTTGAACTCTTAGCCAGAGTGAATAGTTAATAATGCCTGTGCATTTCTAAAAGCAATTAGAAACTTAATGTGCAGGACAGTGTGAAACAAGTTAGCTCTCCAGGACAAAGCATTTCCTATTTCATTTCATTTTTCAGTTTCTTCATCTGTATAATGGGGATAATAATAGCACCCATTTCCCAAGCAGGGTTGTCAGGCTTACATGAGATAATATTTGTAAAGCTCTTAGTACTGTGTGCTAGGCACATAGTAGCTGCTATATAAATGCTAGCAATTATGATTTCTTCTTAAAATTGTATATACCTATATACGTATACATATACATATTTATATAAAATATGCAAATATACTCTGGAGGGCAGGGGCCATGCCATATATAAATTCTGTATCTCTTCCAACACGATGTTCTGCACACAGTAGACAATAAAGGTTTGTTGAATGATTGGTTGATCTAACAAGATAAACTTCAATAGATTTATATATTTATGTTTCTTTGTGAAATCCTCCCTAAAATTTTTAAATTTTATTGTGAAAAACCATGTAATCCCAGCACCTTTGCTTACTACCCTCCATCCATCCCTGATCCCAACAACTCACAACTTTCAATCTCTAGCGTGCAGTTCTGTTCATCCAGAGGATATCTTCGCAGATCCATCATGCAAGCAGCTGTTGTTGTGATCCTGTAAGAAAAAAGAAAAAGAAAAAGGAAAACCATGACATAAACTCATGAGGAAAGTGACATTTGACTATCTGCCTTCTTTATGGTATTTAGTATCTGCCTTCCAAGGAGTTAAAAAAAAAACTGACCAGCTGCCAAAATGTATTTACCAGCCTGATGAATCATCCACAGTTCTGCCCACACCTCCTGGCATCATAGGGATGGCATCTTTTAATGACTGGCAGCATTTCTTGAGATTCTGTCTTTTATGTCTAAGGGTTCTGGAATAATTAGCAAGAGACTTGGATAGATACATATCACTGACAAACTCTGTGACCTTGGGCAAATAACTGAACTCCTTTGGTGCTTAGCTTCCTAAAATGTAAAACAACTAGATCAGGACTTTTAAGCCATTTTTGTATCATGGACCTTTTGGGCAGTATGGTGAAACCTACGGACTCTTTTTCAGGATAATTCTAAATTTTTTAAAATTAATTTTTAAATTTTTTAAAATTAATTTAAAAATTTTAAATTAAATTTAAAATTTTAATTTAAAATTTAAAAATCTAACTTAAATGTTAATTTAAAATTTTTTTAAAATGCATATAACAAAATACAAAGGATTACAAACTTTGTAGCATAAAGGGAATCAATTATATTGACATATAATTATCAAAATATATATTTAATTAATTTATTTTGATTTATCAACCATCACTTCCATAAGCTTTTGAGTTTTAAATTTTTCTCCCCCTCCCTCCCCACCTCCCTCCCCAAAACGCTATGCAATCTGATATAGGCTGTACATATACATTCCTATTAAACATATTTTCATATTAATTATGTTATAAGGAAGAATTAGAACCAATAGGAGGAACCACAAGAAAGAGGAAACAATACAACATAAGAAAAAAAATAGCTAATAGTATGCTTTGATCTGCATTCAAACTCCATAGTTCTTTCTTTGGATGTGGATAGCATTTGCCATCATGAGGCCTTTGGAGATGTCTTAGATCCTTGTATTGCTGAGAAGGGTTAAGTCTATCAACATTAGTCATTGCACAATGTGGCTGTTACTGTTTACAACATTCTCCTGGTTCTGCTCACTTCACTCAGCATCAGGCTATACAGGTCTTTCCAGGTTTTTCTGACATCTTCCTATTCATCATTTCTTATAGCACAATAGTATTCCATTACATTCATAAACCACAACTTGTTCAGACATTTCCCAATTGATGGGCACCCTCTCAATTTCCAATTCTTTGCCACCACAAAAAGAGCTGCTATAAATACTTTTGTACATGTGGGTCCCTTTCCCATTTGTATGATCTCTCTGGGATATAGCCCTAGAAGTGCTGTTGCTGGGTCAAAGGGTATACACATTTTTATAGGCCTTTGGGCATAGTTCCAAATTGCTCTCCAAAATGGCTAGATCATTTCACAACTCCACCAACAATGCATTAGTGTTTCAATTTTCACACATCTTCTGCAACATTTATCGTTTTCCTGTTTTGTCATGTTGGCCAATCTGATAGGTGTGATGTGGTATCTCAGAGTTGTTTTCATTTGCATTTCTCTAATCAATAGTGATTTAGAGCATTTTTTCATATAACTGTAGAAAAACTAGTACACATCTCCAAAGACTCATGATGGAAAATGTTGTCCACATCCAGAAAAAGAACTATGGAGTCTGAATGCAGATCAGAGCATATTATTTGCTCTCTCTTTCTCTCTCTCTTTCTTTCTTTTTTTGTTTCTTATGGTTTCTCCCCTTCTTTCTTGTGGTTTCTCCCTTTGGTTCTAGTTCTTTTTTTACAACATGACTAATGTGAAAATATATTTAATATGAATGTATATATAGAGCCTATATCAAATTACACACCATCTTATGGTGGGGGGAGGGGAGAGATGGGGAGAAAATTTGGAACTCAAAATCTTATGGAAGTGAATGTTGAAAATTAAAAATAAATAAATAAATTTTAAAAAATAACTAGTTCACATTCTCATGTTACAAACCTCTGGACTAAGTATCTCTCAAATTTCTTTCAGATCTGACATTTTATGATTCTGAGACCCTGGAGAGGTTACTCATTCAGTTTTATTATTCATTTATGCTTTATTGTGAATGAGCTCATCTGAAATTTTCTAGGGAACAGTATTGATAGCACAAAGAGAACAAGAGAACACTGCGGAACAATAGTGAAGGAAGTGGACCATCACATCTAATTCCATTGAAAAGGCAATTCTTCATGTACAATTCAAACACAGGATCAAAGGTAGAAATGGTATGGTCAAGTGAAGGGAGGTAGTGGATAAATTTGCTTTAGTTTATGTGGAAGAAATTGAGCAGGGGATTGAGAAGAGTAAAGGGACATTGGGTAGTCTGAATCTCTGTTTGAAGGGCTTTGAGGTACAAAGAAGATCTTGGTGCTAGCTCCTATTGTATTGGGAAGCCACTGTAGGATATTTCTAGCCCTCTGATTATGTGGCAAATTAGCTGAGTATATCATGGTTGACCTTCACCAACTTAATTTTAGAGATATGTCTTTGGGTTAGCCAGAATCCCATGATGATATAGTTGGCCAAATGGTTTAAATACTGAACTATTATAGAATCAAATGATTTCAGAACTGGAAGGGACCTCAGGAGCTAGTTAGTTACCAGGGTTGGGGGACCTGAGACCTCAAGGCCACACATGGCCCTCTAGGTCCTCAAGTGCAGCCCTGATCCAAACAGATTCAGTCAAAGGGCCATGCTTAAGGACCTAGGGAGCCACATGCGACCTTGAGGCCATACCTGGAACCATACTTGATAGGCAGGGGCCACGTCATATATAAATTTTGTATCTCCTGCAGCATGGTGTTCTGCACACAGTAGACAATAAAAGCTTGTTGAATGATTGGTGGTCCTAATAAGACAAGCTTCAATAGATTCATATTTTTAAGTAACAGAAATTAATATTATACTGTTTTATTAATAACTAAGTATTATTTTGTGATCCATACTTTTCCTCTTCTTTTTTAAGGCCCCACTTCTGAAAAGGTCAGTCAGTCTCTGAAGGGCATGACCGAGTGCCATGATTATTCCTCAATAGTAATCACTTGATCTTTGCAATGTGTAATACAAAGATCATTTCTTTTCAAACATCTATAGCTTCCTATCAGTTGGTAGGAATGTGTGCAAATTTTCATCAAGTTTCTTTCAAAGTTTCATCAAGTCATAGAGGTGATTCTGGGTTTTCAAAAGCTTATGTCAACTGAGCATAAGTTCTGGGAGCTAGAGGTGGCCTGGTGTAGAGGACAGAGCACTGACATTGCAGTCAGGAAGACCTAAGTTCAAATCTCACCTGAGGTACCTGCTAGCTGTGTGACTCAAGTGGGCAAGTAATTTAGTTTCTCTGTGCCTCAGTTTCCTCATCTGTAAAATGATGGGGTTGGAATTGATGGCTATGACATCCTTTTCTGCTCTAAATCTGAACCTATGGGAAGGTTTAAGTTCAGTTCAAGGTTCATCCTAAGTGCTGTGGGGATCATTTAGCCTTAATCATCTGAATCATATTCTGTGGAATTGAGGGCCCAAAGAATTATGAAGCCAAGTAATCACAGTGAATGGCAGAACTGTTGCTAAAGTATTTGCATCAAAGGCCCATGCCCTAAGTTATTATTTGGGCTTTCTATTTGACTTCTACCATCAATGCCTCCTTTTCAGGGGTGTTTGAGAGAATTAGCTGCAAAGTTGGCTGCAAACAAGGGCATGTTTGATTGGTCACAGTTTATGGGGAAGTAGTTAGCCAACTGTTCCTCTGGACACAGATTCCAAGTGTAGGGGCAGGAGGCAGCGGGATGTGTCTGCTTCTTTTAAAAATCAAATCAACAAGCATTTATTAAGCACTTACTATGTGCCAGGCAGGCTATTTGCAATGGTCATTGTGATAATTTGTTTATAGAATTGACCACTGGGCATGAAAAAGAAATGGGTTATTAAAAGAAAGTGAGCCAAGAGTACTTTGGAATAATGGAATAAATAGAAATCATGTTGCTGTGACTTTCACTGAGTAAGCTCAGAGGCAGGATTGTTCATCTCTGATGAACAGTATGAAAGGATTGCCTTTAGCTGTTCCACAAAGGGAAAAAAGGTAGTCCGTGCCTTCTGGGAAACTTAGAATTGAAGAAGACCTTAGATATTCCAAAGACTAAATAGGCATACTTGTAAGAGAAAAGTTTAGCAAGAAGTTAAGTATATTATTACCCTGGGGAACTTAGGAAAGAAATTACCCACTAATTTCAATTGTAGGATAAAGAAATACAAGCTTTTTTTTGGGGGGGGGACAGTTGGAGGCAATCAGAATTAAATGGATTACCCTAGGTCATATATTCATTTAATGTCTGAGACCAAATTTGAACTCAGATCCTCCTGACTCCAGGGCAAGTGCTCATATAGCTGCCCTAAAATGCAAGCTTTAAAAAGAATGATCATAGCCTGATAAAATCATAGGAAGAATCTTAGAACCTGAAGTAATATAAGCCAGTGATAGTATGAGGTATTTATGAAGAAGAGAAAATAAAACTTTTCTTCTTGACAAATGTTACATTCAACTCATCCAAAATGAATTGTTGAGTTCACCCAATTGTCACGAAGTAGGATACACCCTCAATCATGAAACTTTCCTCTTTCCTCTTTCCCCTTGTCCTACATGCCCCTGGTTTGCACTGAATCCTTTTCTGCCTTAGAATTACACCATAATGCCAATGGAACAGTCTCCTTAGAGAAACTTCATATCACTCTTTGTAAGTGTTGCTGGTGAAACTCTTGGCCCCTGATGATTTCTGGGCATTCCAGAAGACCTTCAACTATGTCTTTTTTTTTTTTTTACAATGTAGATCTTCCAGAGTTATCAACTAACTGAAAAAAATGGAAAGAACAAAAACCCCTATACCAAAATAAGAGCAGACTCTAAGTCTCAAAGTAAAAACAGAGCACAGTTCCAGAGAATTTTTGATCAGGTATGGTTTGTAGTGGCTA